CTCTGAAGCAGAGAAAGCTCATAAAAGGTACTTGGCAATTATTGTGTCCTATCTAAAAACTAAGTAAACGTATTAGCAGCCCAGAAGACGTTCTTGTATAGCCAAATAGAAAAGAAAACCCACCATGCAAAGCTATACAAGATGCGGACGAAATAAAATCTCGTCCATAGTTAATTCATCTAAATGGCTGCGATACAGAAAGATTACCCCGCAAGATGAGGCACGATACTGTTTTATTTCTAAGATAGAAATATGTTTGGAGCTGAGAAAGGTATGTGCCAACATTGTAGGGAACGTGTGAAGTCGGTGGACCATCTAGCAACGCAGTGCGAAAAAGTGTTACATCACGACTATACTAGAAGACACAATGGAGTCCTGCAATGCATCCATTTGGGACTCCAAAAGAAGTAACATTTAAGAGCGGAAAATCTGATGGCAGTAACATGCCTGGCAGTAACATTTAAAAGCGGAAAATTTGATCTACATAAAGCTGTACACACTTAGAATGGTTATTTAGCGTAAATATGTAGCTATATACAGTAACATCATGATATGTTCACACGTTATCTAACATGTTATTTTTCTGGCTTCCAGAAAAAAATATGAGAATAAGCATTTATATTCAATTCAATCTTCTTCCATCAATAATGACCCATGGGTTTTTACTGATTTCAGGGACTGAGTTGGGTTGCACAACGTCATGTCAGCACTGCACTCAAGAAACGATACAAAAAGTGACAGCAGCAGTAAAAATGGACCTATTTCGTATGTTTTCCGTGTTCTCGGAACTCTGGAGTATTATGGATCGCGAGAAAAAAATGTGTATTAACAAAGATTGCTAAACGTCTTCCATTTCCGGTCAGAGAAAGTTTGGAAGAAAATAGTGCAAAAATCAATGTTTAGCGGCAGGTTAACCCAGATCAGCCTTATTTGCTACCGTTTATTATGAAGTCAGTTCCCATTTTTAGTTCTATGTGAATTTAAAGTGATGCTAAAAAATGCTACATGCAGAGTGCGATGAGTTTTCTATGGTTCTGGTACTATGATGAATTAGAAACTTTAGTAATCAAAGATCCAGCTTACTTACACAAAAACGCCTTGTTACCAATGTATAGAACTTAATAAGCTTCAGGCTTACATTTCACAGAAATTAAAAGATTTGCGTTTCAAGCGATATGATTTACATCAACCGATTCGCAAGACGATTATTTTTGAGTTCTCTGTGTGGTAGTTGCTAATAATTTTAAAAATATTTTGCTCATTGCTGTTTTGTTGTATGGTTATGACAGCTGTTTCCGCGTAACGCACAACAGGTTGGCACTATTGTCTGCCAAAAAAAATTCCATAAACTCTACACACTTCGAATTATTAGCTAGAACTGCCTAGCGGCATTATTGCATTTCTCAAGTTTTCATGACCTCCATTATCTACAGTAACGAAATCTAACAAATACAACAAGCAGTTATCAAAAGAATTATCAAATAAAACCTATAGTAGTTGAAACATCATAGAAAAACAATAGGAGAGACTTCAAATGTATAACAACACTTTTTTAGAAATACTTTTCATCTTATCCTTTTCTAAACGTCTTTCTTTTTTCTCTCTCTAACTTTTTTCTTTTCTATTTTTTTCCGTTCATCAGTCTATCTTTTTTATTTCGTGAAATCCAAAACAAATTGTAGATGACGTCAAAACAGCCAGAAGAAGAAATTGTATTTGCAATTAAGCAATTAACAAATCATATGGCTATCTCATTGGTTATGATCTGTTATCTTCCATTTAAATGCAATTTAATTTCATCTTTACAGCTCCTATAAGACAGTTCATTTCTTCACAGCAATAAACTTGCTAGTTCCACTACCAACCTCGACATATAGTAACGGCAGCAAAAACATACTCATTTATTTCTAAATGAAGAAAAAAATGCAGTGCATCATAAATCTACAAATGGCAGTACTCAAAAACATTCACTACGATTCACTCGAGCAACTGGAAAAAAGTCATTTAACAGTGGAAGGCAATCTATTTTGTTTCTTCTTTCTTGTCTGTACTGACTGTACTCAGACACGCCTCCAACTTAAGTTTACGAAATCTTATCCTTCTGGTTAGAAAATAATTGCTTTCCGCATCCTTGTTCTCTTATCCTTGAAAATGCAGTAGTTATTTTTTATCTATTCCGCCTGATAGAATTATTCATAGATATATGTTAGTTTTGTTTGGAAGAACAGCCCAACTTCGATGTGTTAAAGACGGAAAAATTCTTGAAAGTAGTACCAATTGCTGAAAAATTGATTGACTGCACAATATATTCATTCCGTTCCTATTTTAGTTTCATATTACTGAGACATTCCATCAAGCATTGATACTTGTCTTCAGAATTTTAAATATGTTTGGGGCTAAGAGAAAATAATTTAATCAAGATTATTGAAAAAGTTGAAAAATTATTTAGCTATCTTTCATTAAAAAACTGGCAAATAAATACATATTTCTCATCATAAATATTGCTGCTGGTTTGCAGCAAATTTCTGATTTTCCTTTGAAACTCTAGTACTTAGTGAAACTGTATAGTTGAGGCGCGAAGAAAATAGCGTAAATTATGCAATATACATTTCTTAATAATTTCTCAATACTTCATAATAATTCGTTTGTATTATACAAGATTTGTTCTAAAGAGCAACTTACAAATTAACGTTAATTTTTCATTTCTGTAACGAAAAACCAAATACACTAAGAGCTGTTGATTTTTTCATTGCGGATTATTTCTACATGAGAATTTTATGGAATTCCTGCATTCTTAAAGGAAAGTATTAAAATGAGGTCTTTACTAGGACGTGAAGAAATATTACTGAAAGTTTCGTTTATCTTGTTGCGTTCCAGAATTACAACTAGAACTTCTTCAGTTTATATATCATGTTAAAGAGACAACTTTTCCAACTCCTCCGAATTCTTGAGATTTTATTCTTATTTCTCATGAATAACAGTAGTTATGAAACATTTTGGTTAGATCTTGCATTTGTACGACCATTTGATCCACCATGAAAATTGGTTTTTGTATTTCCCACTTCCGCGGTTACCGATTTTCATTAAGCAAGCAAATATCAGAAAGCAAAATGTGAAAATAAGTTTTTCTGTTTTCAGTTCTTATAGTTGACGCAAATTCCCAAACCCCACATTTCCCCATTCCCTTCAATTCACTTATTCCCACATTCACACGATTTCATCCAACTTATTGTTGGTTTTACTTGATAGTAAAAAAGGAATAACTATTTAGAAAAAAACTTGAAGCAAGAAATGTTGACATGATCAAAATTAAAAAATGGTCATGTTTTCACTTCCTATACTAACAATAATGATAAATGTTTTTTTCTCACAATAACTACCTTTACTCCATTTTGTTATACACAGTAATCCATTTTATTATTGCAGAGCAGTGTATGAAATTCATAAAAATTACAGTCATCACCAGTGGCCAACCATGTTTCGGTTCCGTAAGATTAAGCTGTAGTAATTTTCAAAATGGACACACCATGAATATGATAGAAAATGATTACTATTTCTGTGGTTTTATTTTTCAGAGATGACGATCTTCAACTTTTAGAAACATCATAAGGCAGTAAAATAAGATGAATCGTAGCATCGAAGCAGTGTCATCGAACTATTGTACTTTCTGATAAAGGACAAGAACGACGTCTTTTAGCTGATGCTAACCTCTTGAACTGATGATAAGCTTGTGAGATAGTAGCTCCAATAGCTGCAATTAGGAAGGAATATTTTATTCCACTTTAATTTCGAGAATAATACCAAAGGTTTGAAGTGATCGTCAGAAATAAGGCACCAAGAACATTAATCTTCTATCACTGAATGCATTTTTTGTATACATAAATTTTCTTATTGATTGTCAATTCTGCATTGAAAAAACCAAACATGAAATTTATTTAGTGAGCAGGACTAAAAAATCTTCAAAATTTCTCTATAAACTGTTTTTTTTTTCACACTGAACTACATAAATTCTTCGTCTAAAATGAGTTTTAAATACAAAGGAAACTATGAAATGTCAGCGGAGCGCGTTTGAGCTGTTAGTAAATGAAGCGCCTTAATCGGACATAATTGTCCTTAATCTAAAACTGCTCCAATGCTTTTAAAATCAAGATTTTGATGCACTGCTAAAAAAATTGTAGAATACTCTTAGTTAATAAAAGTTTTACACCTACCCAACGTTAAATACGAAATATGCAGTGGGGAAAAATATTGCGCTGAAAAAATTCCAATTAGATATCAAATTTTGCAAGTAATAGCAGCAATAAGTGAAATTCTTTGTTGTCAACCGTAAATCCTTAGTTTGCGTATAAAAAAGTAAAAGAATTGCACCTGTATTTGTCAACAACTTCTGGTTCTATTGAATTTAGAGCTCTTCTTAATCTCCGAAATCGAAAACTGAAATTTCTCAAAACTCGTATCTTAAGTTGAAGTGTATGAAAACTTATTATTCAGTTTTTAGTATATATTTTACATAAAGATATATAATTAAAATACATATGTTCTTAATGTAAAACATATATTACAAACTAATTGAAAACCTTTCAGGGCTTTTTTGGCACTTCTGTTTTTACAAAATTTTAGTTTTTATGCTTTCCAAGGGAAATGCTCTTTTTACTATTTTACTAAATGTCTTGGATGGTGATATCAAAAAAATATTTTTCATTTTTATTAAAAAAAATTAAAATAAATCACTTATTCTGTGATTCTCTTTGCACAGCAGATATTTTGCAAGGAATGAGACTAACTGGATTCATTACTGAGTGTAAATTTGTTGGTGTAGCTTGCTTTACCAACTATAAAAAACAAATTACATTAATGAAAACATTCATCTTGTTCACCTTTTTAATGCTAACATAAAAATATATCGTTATACTTGCCTCATTATCACCCATGAACGATGAACACCGTTTATCAACCCAAAACTGTAAAATAAAATTAGTTAATTAATACACCGACAAAACTGAAAAATATCAGTTTTTTGACTCGATGTACAATTGAAATAAGTTAAATTTGAAATTCCTAAGTAACCTGTCTCAATCCTATTCTTGGGCTGGGCATTTCTTTCCAAGACATATAATTGACCACTGAATTTCTTTTTTTGAGTCTTTTTGGAGCATGATCGTTTCGAGACATAAATCCAATCACTGCCAGCTCCAAGAGGGACAAAAAGATAAACATCATACCACTAAAATACTGTTTAAAGAAAAAAATTTGTAATACTTGATCTTCATCCTTCGTTTGCCAATTTTACTGTCTGCACATGCGTAATGAATTTTCCAAAAGCACGATTCGAAAATACCTTAGCATCCAAACATCAATAGCTTTGACATATGATACACGAGGCAAGTTTCTGATGATATTTCCAAATTGAAATGTCATAGCCAATAAAGAATTCACTCCCAGCATAGTGCGTGCTGGAATTGCTCTAAAAGCATTATTTATTGAAAAATATAAAATCTAAAGTTGAGGGAGACATTTTTTGAGAACTCTTTTTATTAGTTTGTATCTAAATAAGAGTTGGCTGTCATTTAGAAAATTGAAAAAAATATAGCGAAGATGTACATAAACCTTGATCCTAAATAAAATGATATCCATGAAATAAAAATAGTGACATAAGTGGGAATATATCCTTGCAGAATATACCAACCATATTGTCTTTTGAAAACAAATGCAACAGTCAATTCGTCCCACCAACCGGCTGGATACGTCTATAGAATTTTTACAAAATATTGAAGAATTTAATAGTTTTCTTTAGGCATTTCTGTTACTGAATTATTTAGTAATACCTGTTCTACAGCAACAACACTAAAATTCGTCAATTTGAAATCGGGTAATTCAATTTTCTTGAGCAACATTACTGGATATGGCTGGTTCCATGACATTCGTACCTCACCAGTATTGTAGTTAAAACTGCGATATTGTGCTTGTATAATTAAGTAACAATCATAAAGAGCTAATTAACCGTGATATTACAGAAATAATGAAAGCTAATTGACATTAAAAAGGCAAACCATAAACATTGAATGTATCTTATATCGGATAAATTTAGAAATTTGCTTTAATAATCTAGCGCAACATACGATTCAAAAGTTAGGAAACATTTTTGTTGATCGAATGGAAATCGCTTTAAATTCATATCACAAGGACCAGTTAATTTCATTCGGTAATTAGTCCATAACGTTCCATTGGAAAAAACCATCAAGAAAATATTTCTTAATAAATAAGTTTGACTCAAATATCTTAGAACAAATATGTTGACTTAATGAATCATCCTTCAAGTTCTAATTTACTATAATTTTAAAATTGAATTTTAATCAGTTAAACAATTTTTCCAAAAATTCAGCTATGTCACTAGATATCAGAATTTGTAGTTAGAGTAGTTGAAGCAAAAACCTAAATGGTGATTCATGAATAGTAGCTGTTTTCGAATTGATGAAACAAGTGTTTGGAATCCACAGTTTCTGTAGTACTTTGTCATCAAATGAAATGTTATTTTTGCAGGGATTCATAAAATCAAAAACAAGCGCTGGATCTTCCCAAAATTCGTTTATATACAAATCTACAAATATAAAGTTCCTACAATTTGTAATTTATTTGAAAAATTTTCCCTTTTCTAAAACTAATACAATTTCCCAACCCTACTAACTGATAGATAGATTGAAATAACAGTTCGTACCAATTTCAAAATCCTGAGTCAGTTCTGAAACAGTGGTTACTTCTTGTACCCACATATCAACACGAACATGGACAGGATGCGCTGGTAAGTAATGCTTATTGTAGGTCTCCTGTAATTTACCTCTAGACTTAAAAACAAGATTTGTCTGTTAACGAAATTTTTTATAAATTGATTTGAAAGATGATATTCGATTGAATAAATTAAAAATGCTAACACTAACAGTTTCAATTGTCACTAAATATTCAATTATTCGATTACTTTTAATGAAACTTATGTTTTTTTTTTACTGAATTTAGACTCAAAATAAACCTTCAAAAGATTATCAATAATTTCCATATCATTTGCGCACCGTGATGAGAAGTGTTCGACACCATATGAACTCAAAAGTTCAGCAAGAAATGATACCATTACCCAGCCAGGATGACTCATCTAAAAATATCTTGAAAGCCTCAAAATAATGATGTCGAGATATTATGCAGTGAAATTAAGTTAATTAATTAATTTAATGCTTCATTAAATTAGTATTAATAATTAATTGCTTGTCATCTAAATCTTAATTCAACCATGCCCATCATTTAATTCCGACAAATTATTTTCCTCTTTTAAAAATTTTGCATTGAAACCAGTAGTTTCTTTTATTCAAAAACACTTTATATGTAGCTTTAAACGTCAAAAATGATAATCAAACTAAAAAATTAGAAGTTTTCAAAACTTCACGAGTGACAATGCCTCTCCACAGCACGATATGGATGTTTGTCAATAGTAATACTTTTGTAAAAGTTATTATGATGATTTCATTGACTTTTAAACGTGTAAAATTGCAAATCAACCTCTACAACATTTGAAGGCACTTTATACGTTGAGTTCGGCAATATCTTGCTTCTGACCAATTGATTAACACGATAGTAGCATTCTTCATTGATTCCTACAGGGAACTGATTTTGTTTATTTGAAGCAAACTCACCTATAAACTAATTATTGAAATCATATTATATGAAACTGTCGAGAAAGTAGAGTATGAGCTTGAAATGAATAAACTGGTTGCTTCCAAAAAAGAATATTGAAATATTTTCTTCAGATAATTTGGTTAGAGTGAAGTGGTATATATTTTTATTAAAATAATACAGAGTATTGGTTTTATAATTTGTAAAAAACTCGAAACTGAACTGATTTTGATAGCCATGACTTTAAAATTAAAATCGTGAGGGAAGCGCCATGTAAACTTTTGGTTGCGTTCTAAACTCTGTTAGTGACATTTAATCTTCTCAGTGACCTGTGGCGAGAATGAATAACCGAATTCTTGAGATTATTTATACTACTAATTCAGACTTTGCAAAGAAGAGTTTTTGTTTTAAAGTCTAAACCTTTGAATTCAACCAAATTCTTAAATTTGTCGATGTGGAGATTCATAAATTGAAAATAAGGACATTTTTTACGAGTTGTGAACAACTTGAAAGATATTCTCCATTAGTTTACTCTGCGCTGTTATATTTGATGCTTGATTGACTTGGTTTAGGTACCAGTTGACGTCAAAAGTCCTGGTAATGAGTCACTCACTCAAAGTTTAATTTCTTTTCACTGCTAACGAAGGTACAAATGTTGGCTCATTGACTTAGCGTGAAATATTCATTCTACGAAATGTTATATCAAGGATTTGCAATGACAAATGAATATCAAAAGTTGCATTGATCATTTTGAAGTGACAATTTTTTAGAAAAAAATTAGAAATAAAAAATAAAGGAGAGTCAAAAAATATAATGATCCCAAAATTTGTATACGAAGAAAATACATTATAGTTGCTATGTAATGACATTAAAAAGAGTATATTTTTTCTGAAAACTGCAATCAGTTTAGTAAAAACTCAAGAGAGAACGCTTAAATTTACTCAAACACACATCTAGTAATAATATTTATATAACAAATTACTACTCATCCAAGTTTCAAGTGTAGGATAAAACTGGCAAGCGTTTAAAACCTTTCGTTTATTCATTTTTTACTTTCAATGTAGTAATATGACCATCCATATATACATATACATTTTTTTTTCACAGCATCAAAACGTCGTATATCTGAAAACGCAGAATCACTGAATTCTAATTCGACAAATAAAGCTTAGCTTTTAGAAGACTGAATGGCTGTTTCAGAATGATGGAAAAGCGACAAAAAAGGGTCATAGAAAGTAAAGCCTAGAAATAATCATTTAAGTACTTCCTTTTCCTCAATTCTAAAGTTTATTTAGAGGATCTAAAGTAAAATAAGTGATTATTTTTAAACTTTCTATAATACATAAATTTCAATAATATGGGCAATATCGAAATAATGACGTTATCAAATCACAAATCAAATTATGAAAAAAAAGAGGACCATATCAACCACTGATAGTAAGAAAAGCTTGCGAACTGTAAGGCAAGAAGTTTAATGCCTTTCAGAGCGAATTAATTTTTCTTTGTGAAAATTGTTCTAGACAATCTGCAGGATTGCAAGTAAAAATGTAAAGATATTTTTAATATTTATGAGCACAGGAATTGAAAGACTTTTACTGTTGGAATATGATAGTATTTTGATCTAAGATTTAGAAAAGAAAAAGTGCAGCAGCAGTCTATAAGTGTGAAAGAGTTCAAGTTTTAGTTGCTCCAAAAGATGTTTTACAGCTTTCTTTCCCAAAAATGAATAATTAAGAGATAGATGACCATTAGTTCCATATTAAATTTAGTAAACCATTAAACATGAAATCGTCATTGAAACATGGATAAAAAGAACAGCAGTGAGATATTTATGTTGTTTTTCCATGATTAGGTGATTTATTAGTTTTAAATTAGTATTCCAAGTTCATTTCCTATTGTTAATTTTTCATGAACTGTCCTTGACAAGTGACTCTTGAAGAAATTTCCGGCCTGCATAATACTTTGTAGGAATGTGAATTCATCACGGTACATTAAATCATTAGATCATCTATGCACAATGCGTATATCAGCAACAAAATAACTAATAAGAATTTCTGTAATTCAAATGTTCCCATTGTAAACTTCACATTTGGAAGCACAAGGACTTTTTTTTTCAAGTAAATTTTGAATGCCAAAGATTACATGAAAATTATTGAATAAAATTTTCGAAAAGCGAAATTTGTTGCACTAAACTGCTATTGAAATCATCGAGACTTCTTACCAACTATATCCCATTTTTTAATAAATATATATACTTAAAGAAAAGCTCTTGAATTTGTTTGATATGTGAGAAAATTTTCAAAATGCCTCGTTGATGGCAATAAATATTCATGCTCCGATTTCAGAAAAATGAATGTTTTACTTCTAAACTCAATAACATGACCAGCTGCTGCTACATTTTAATAAAGTGCGGAATTTTTGCAGTCATTGGTACAAACGTTCTTTATAATGCACTGATTGATTGACTAACTGAATACGAAGCAGATTAAATTACAAACAAAACAGCAGAATCAGAACAAATAATTCTACGAATTTTCATTTTTCTATTTGAAATAGTTTTTCATCAAACCAATAGTAAATTTATGTAAAAGAGAAAGGAGCAATTTAAAAATTTTTTTCAAAAGTGCGCTGGTAGTTATTTTCGAAGAATGTTGAAAAAAAATTGGAATTATTGGAATAAGGAAAATAATATTAAATTAAATTGTAATTTAATAATATTGATCGTCCTGCGACTGAATATTGGCTTGTCAGTAATCATCAACTGGGAGCCATTGTTTAATTATGGATGTCACCAGAATTTAAAAATGAGTGAACATGATTACTTGTTTGTCAAAAATGCTTTACTATATTTTTCAGCAAAGTATCATTTAAAATATATTATTATAGTATTCATGGACAAAATTTTTGCTGCAAATTATTATTTCTACAAATTATTGGTAAAATTGTTTATCGCACACACATCATTTAAATTTGTGACTAATGTAGCCAGTTGGTTTACGTATTGAAACAAATGATATATATCGAGACAGAACAAACATATTAAGATTGAGGGCTACATTGTGAGTCAGAGCAGGAATTACTGAGTTTGTAAAAGAGGAACTGAAACTTGTCGATTTGAAAGCTATGATAATCTGAATCAGATAACTTGAAAGGATGTGCCATTACAGCATTTTTTTAATATGTAATAATCTATGAGTATTATAGATTATTACAGATTATAAAATTGAAAAGCAACTCATTATGGTGGAAATAATTTTGAAACATATAAGTGCGAAAAGCAGCTCACTCTGAGTTGCAAAGAGATTCGTAAAATTTTATTGCCATGTTTGCTAAAATTTCAGCTTTTGAGTAATTGTTTTTGCGAACACTAATTTTTTTCTCTTTCAATATTTATTTGGAAATAATGTATGCATGATTAGTGCGATACACTACTTTTCTCTCTCCCTCTCTCTCTCTCTCTCTCTCTCTATATATATATATATATATATTTTTTTTTTTTTCAGGTAGAAGATTGAAAACTGTGAGAAAAGAAAAAACTTTTATACATCTTACCTTATTTTAAATTCTAAATGAAATTTCAATTCTTAATTATTCTTGAAGTGAAGCTGAAAAATTTGTGCAATTCATCTCAAAACTGCTTTTATCAGTTTTTTCTCCAGTCATTCTTTTCTAGCGCGAGAGATCTTTTTTTTTTTTT